CAAAAGCATCCCAACCGGTGAATTACCTCAGCCATCAGTGAGTTGATGCGGTCTATGTTGACCTGGTTTATACTCGGCACCGCCTCCTTCTCGGACCGGGTAAGGGTCCTCAGCATTCTTTTGGCGTAATTTTGAAGATCTGGCCAATGAGAAGAGGCATCTTCATCAATAGATTTATCGGTAAAGTACTGAGCAAACGCGGCGCCTATATTGTCGGCTGCCTGATTAATCCCCTGACTGGGTAGCTTGGGACATGACTCTCACAGGTCCAAGCGGCCAGGGGGGATCAAAGGTGAGAGCAGTACCTTGATTTTCAGGTTGAGGGGTCACTCCACCCCCAGCCGGCATTGGAGCCGGATGCTAAAGCAAGCACCCGGCTTGAGGGAACCTCGGGCTCCCTAGTTCTGACTCAGCAGGCCCTGAGCTCAAGCCAAGATCTTTAAGGCTTTTGCCTGCTGAGGTAGGCCTTTCAGGAGCAAGCGGCCTTCCGATAGAGGTAGGGGCACCCGGAACCCTTCTTGTCTTGGAAGCAGGTTGGGAGGGCTCCTCTCCCGGCCTCTTCAGCATCTGTCTAAGGGAACGAGGATAATTCTTGCTCTCCGTCTACAAAAGAAAACAACGCAGCCGGTTAGTATCAAAATGAGCTACAAATAATACAGACGGTTAAAAGCTCAGCCGGCACGTACCCCATCATCTTTGGCCACCAGCTGGGCCCTCTTTTTCTCCAATTAATCCTTCCGGATCTTAGCAGCAGACTTAGCCGGTGTCTTTTCGGGAGGCATCATCTCTAATCCTTTCTCTACAAGGAAGAAAAATCAAAAAAATCAGAAACTCATTCAAGTATGATACAGACGGCATAAAGTGCCGGCTAACAATCAACATACGTCTGCTCCAAAATGTGCTAAGGCCACAGGCGGAAAGAAACGCCTCATCCTTAATCCAGTCCGGATGAGGGACCCAGTGTTTAGGGACAATGACCTCTGTCCCATCATCCAAAGGCAAGGTGGTCTTTTAGAAATGACTCGGATCCATTATTTGATCCCATGCCGCCTCCGGTAATTTAGGAAGGGCACACTTCTTTCCAAGAAGTGTCGGGTGTGTGTTGTAACGACGCAACTGGTGGTTTAGTTGCAGCGAGGGGGAAGAGACCATGTAAAACTTGCTCTTCTAGCTTCTCCATTTAAACGGCTTGTCTAGCGTCATCATAAACTCCGGATGCGTGGTCAAGGTATACCACGCATTCCAGCCGCCTGGGGCACGACTGAGGTAGTTCATATGTGCAAACGCCTCCCAGCTCGGCGTTATCTCCTGCATCTCGCAGGCGGCAATGTATCCTAGTATATTCACCCAAGAGTTGGGTGTTAGCTGCTAGAAGCCAAGGTCATAACCCCTTAGAATGGTCTTTATTGTTTTATGGAGGGGGAACCGGAGGCCGGCTTTGAATGCCGCCTCGTAGCAGCCAAAATAATCATTGGCATGGTCAAGGTCGTCTTCCCAAACGACGGTTGCCTCAACAGCGGCACCACTATTTCCCATCCGGCCCCAACTGTACGCTTTTCAAAAAATGTTAGAAGGGTGGCGTTCAGGGTGACCACATCCAGGGTGCTCATATGCACCTCTGTTGGATTGTTGATAGAGGGCCATTTATATGCCTCCTCATCCTCTAGAGGGGCATCCGGCTCCATGGTGGACTCAGTGGAGTCTGATTGCTGGATGGTCCTTCGCCGCCTGTACTATCGGATTCCTCCAAGATTTCATCTCCGGGCGTGCTAGTTACGCCCGGTTGGTCATAAGGTACATCATTAGCCGGAGCTTCAGCTGAGCCGTCTGACTGATATTCGAGGTCTACAGACGTTCGTCTCGTCCAAGCCATTATGTCCTGCACATGAACGGAGACGGTCGGATTCGCGGAAGAGTAAGGGTGGTCCAAACACCCCCAAACGGCATCCCCAGTCCTAGACTCAGCCGTATCCGGTGACCGGCTCACAACTGTCCTAGGCTGTGCCATGTGTGTGTTGGGTGAGTCCATTATTCTTTAACAAGTTATACAACCAGAAAAAGCGCAAAAAAGTTGCAAGGGGCAGAGACGGTACCTTGAAGTTGTAAAAAATCAGAAGACGCTTGACTCCTTGAAGTCAGCAGCCGAAAATCTGATTTGTTGCTTGGTGATACCCCAGACGGTAGCCCGGATGTACCCTCTTCAAAGAGCAACTGAATTGTTGAAGCAACCCAACCGTTTCTCTGAAATGTGGCTTGAAGATACCCAAGATGGTAGTGACCGGCTGTGGGTGTATTGAAAGCTAGAGAAAATAAAAAGGGTACTCAGGCGGTTTGAAGAAAGTGGCTTGAAGATGCCCCAGGCGGTTATTACCGGCTGTGGGTATATTGAAAGCAAAGGAAAGAAATTTGACTATGGTCAGGCGGGATCTAAGAGTTTTGAGCAAAGAACACTCAGCCGGTGTCCGGATGAGTGAAGAAAGAATGGTTTTGAATAAGCAAGCAACCGCTATCAAAGCGTTCTCTCAGAAAATCTCTCAAAAATGAAAATTTGCAAAGTGTGAAAATGAGAGGAGGAGGGCTTCTACTTATAAAAGAACCCTTAAGACAAACCGTCACCTCCCTGTTCAAATTCGAAATTCGAATTCAAAAAAAAATTAAAATAAATTAAAATAAATAAAATAAAAGAGGGAAGTAGACGAACCGTCACCTTCCCAGAATGTGACACCTGTCACAGGTGGCACGTGGCAAGCCACATCACACCTGTGAGGGGCAAATGTTTAGGGTAAAAATACTCTGTCCACGTGACCCAATAGTATGCTGACACGTGTCAGCCTCAGAGAAGCCCAAGGGGATCCAATCCTCCGCCGACACGTGGCACCTTAACCCTAAAAAAGGAATTGATCCCCTTCCACTATAAATAGGGGAAAATCCTCATTTATTAGATATTCACAAACATTCATAAAATACATACACAAAAAAATCGAGCAATATTAATTGCAAAATTTTCTCTAAATCAGAGAGAAAAACCTTTACATTCCGCACTTTATTACATCCGAAAGCGTTCTAACTTGATCGTCGGAGGCGGAACTTCACCCAACCGAAGTTTTCGTGGTTTTGCAGGTACAGACGGTCGACGCGCATTCTTGGAATTGTAACTCTCCCGAGGGACTCCCAAAACCCCGAAACACTTGGTGTCAGTTTTATTATTATTATTATTATTATTATTATTATTATTATTATTATTATTATAATTATTATTATTATATATATATATCATATATATGCGGTTTGGTTTGGTTTTATGTTTTTGGAAACCCAAACTAAATCGCAATAATACGATTTGGCAAAATAAAAAAGCAAACCGCAAACCAGACCAAACCGCAAAATTGCGGTTTGAAGCTGTCTAAACCGTACTCTGTACAACCCTAACACGACACTAGACGACGTTTAATTAAACAAGTCGAGTTAGTGTTAAGATTCCCAACACAAAATTAACACGACTCAACCCGCCTAAACAAAAAGACAATAATTTATGGAATTATTGATAAACATATTGAATAAGGATAGTACTCTTTCAGTTAATACAACACAACACGACACAATTGTCAGGTCTAATGTAAAGTAAACGAAAGGTGATAAGTAATTTTAAAATAAAAAAAAATAACTATAGAATGACTAGGGTATTTGTTTAAATTTTTGGTAGAAATATGTTTGCAAGACTTTATTATCTTTTGTTTTAAAATTATTTAACAACGATATTATGCAAACTATTCACAATATTACTTCATTTATAGAGTAGATATTCAATCACTTGCTTTCCAAGTTATGAGAAATAAGGGACAATTCGATACAATTTCTCGCTTGACGGATTTTTTTGAGGTACAAACCTATTTTGGTTTTTTAAGGTAACAATGATGTTAATCCTCTATAATAAATATAATTAAAGTAATAACCGCTAACATCATCACTGTCTAAGTGTCAACTTCTCATAAAAAAAAAATTCCCTCTAAAATTTTTGGTAACATCATTTTTTTTAAAGATAAATAAAGGTTCGAAATTAGTAAGTTTATTGCATATTTCCTAAAATATTTTATGTTGAATTGAAGAGACTGACGTGCATATTAATTTTTCATGGATTAAAATTAAAATAAAAAATTTGGTGGCTGGACTTGGATTGTTTCACTTTTCTATGAACTTTTCATCTTCTCCTACTCTATACATTTATAGTGATGGTATGTTTTTGGGGTTTTCAGTCTTTATTAGTTCTTCAAAAAAAAAAATAATGAAAGATAAAAATCAGTAAATTAATGCTAACATTTTAGAAATAAGTTTAAAATTTTATTTAAAGTATGAAGTATATAGTATCATTTATGATTATAATACTCCTTACTTAACATCATATCTTTTATTGTAGCTTAATTTATCTAATAAGAAGACACACAATATATTATGTTTATCTTAAATACGTATTACACAAATAAGCTAAAAAAATTTATTGTTTAAATTGTGCATCGCACGGGACTAACCTAATTTTCTAATTATTGTTGTACCTCACACGTAACTGTCGCAATAAAAGAGAGATTCAACAACTAAAATACCCACGAAATAAATCACCATAAATTAACTGAAAAACTTTGATGTATGTGAAGCTACTTCAATGCGAATATGAGGTTACTTTCATAAATAAGTAGATTTATTATTTCATTAGCTAATACAAAAAATAGGGTCACTCAAATGAAAAAGAGTAATTTTCTGTTTCTCATTGTGAAAAACAAGTTTTGTTTCTCATGATATGTGTCAAGATTTGGGGCTCCCACTCATGACACATACGCGATTCCCACCAGTGAAAAAAATCACATTATTTTCCAAAATGTCATTATGAGAAACAAAAGTGTTTCTCATAATGAGGAACCGGGGCTCCCTTAATGAAAAAATGGGGTTACTTATTTAATTTCTTAATTATTTGATAATATGCGTATAACAACATGGGTAATGGGAGTTACTCTTATAAATAAATGGGTTACTCATACATATGAACTTTAAACCAAGCAACGTAATCACACGGTGTGGTTAGCCACTCTCAAGACTTATTGATAAATTTATTACTTCACTAAAAAAAGAGGATAAATGCTACAAATTGATGAATTTCTATATAAATCAAAAAAATTATACATAATAGATATCATTATCTTCAACCCAATCAACCTTGAAATTTACTTATATTGAGGTTGAGGCGTCATCAACACATTGATTGCATTAGTGGATCTATCATCAAAGAACCTTGATCCTGATAATTTTCAGGCCGAGTTGTTAGTAGAAAATAGTTGTTGTACCTCTAAAATCTCCACCCTTCGATTTGTTTTCTTTCTAATCTTGATTGCGATATCTTGAGGGATAAATCTTCCAAACACAATCACCCTACTAGTTTTGTTCTCTATTATATGAGACTCTAGTTCTTCAAAAACAACATAGAAAAAAAAAATAGATTAAAAAACAAAGTCACAATATACCATAAATGCATAACACACAAGCTATTACAATAACTATATTTTAGTGAAAACATATAAGACTATCCCGTCAAAAAAAATAAAAAAAACATATAAGACTACAATCTATAAAAATAAATAAATAAAAAATAATATCTGTTTTTTGTTGACATGTATTAGTGAACCAATGAACAATCATGTACGAAGTATAATATATAAGCTATGGAAAAAAACATTGCTTACCACGAATTTGAAGAAGTGCTTGCTTCACCTTTCTATAGCAACCGTTGCAATCAATTTTGATCCTCAAAATCATGCAAAAATACTGCTCAAATAATCATATATATACACAATATAAATTAATTAACAAACTATGACATACAAATATAAGAATAATTACATAATTAATTTTACTTAGAAAATAAAGAGAATTTACCATTTCCCTCATGAAGCCAGAAGCAAGGAAATGAACAGTAAAACGCCTTAGAAATCAGGGAAAACTTTCTATTATGTAAAGCTAAAAAGAAGAACTAATAAAAGGAAGAGATGTGTAGTAATTAATATCATTAATCATTAATTATTTAATGACAAGCATAAACACGTAGGGTTATTTACAAGTTTGGTTGAATTGTTCTCTATTAAAGTTATACTTTAAAAATGATGGAATCTAGTTCTCTTTGGATTATAGGTAGGTATGCAATGCCATTTACATATTCTAGAGGCAGGCAGGCAGAATTATTTGCTTTAAGCAGCATTTTCCAGCCTTGTTCCTATACGATCGATATATCTAGGATGATTCTTTCTACATCTCACAATGGTAGAAGGTACCTACTAACCAACTAGACTAGTTGACATCGATCAATAGACTAGTTTATTAAAATAAAGTCTGTTTAGAAGGATGAATTACATGAATTCGTAGTAGAATGAAGATGGAAGTCATGGTACATGAGTACATGACTATGGAATAAGAAAAAGGCTCTTGGACTTTGAAAATAGAGGTAGTTCAGGATAAAAACTCTCAATTTTTTCTTTTTATTTTTTTATTTACACATGTTTAAATGCCAAAAAAAACTCACTTTTTTTTTTTTTTACCTATGTTAGAATATTTTTAGTTCAGTAAAAATAATTTCAGTTCGATAAAAATAATTTCAATTGAAAGAATAGAGAGGAAGTGTTTCGGAACTTGTATGTTGATTGGATGAATCCTTGGTCAAAATAGTAACACCAATGGTCAGTTGGTTCATCATTCATAAGATTAGTTCATGCCCTTTTTTTGTTTTTTGGGGAGGTCAGAAGCTTAATATAACAGATAGTATCTTCAAGGTTTGTTGCAGGGAGAAAAATAAAAGATGCATGTGTGTGTAACACACAACAGGCATGTTACTACTCACACTACTCATGCATTTACTTCTTAACACCTCTATATATTTACCCAAATCGTAGCACCATGAGTAAGACGTCCATCTTAATCTAAACCTAGAAGCACAAACAAGTAGAAGAATGGCAATATCTTCCAAAAATTTCCTCACTCAAAGCACTACTGCTACATTGCTCTTCCTCATCTCCTTCCTTACATTAAGCCAATCACAATTAACTCCGCCTAGTCCTTCAACCCCCACCATGGCAGAGTGTGGACCACGCCTCCTTGTACTGGCTCCGTGTGCCCCATTTGTGCAGGGGCAGTCTCCAGGGCCAAGTGTTCAGTGCTGTAATAACCTCCTACAAGTGTACAATCTGGAGCGAGGTTGCCTCTGCCTCTTTCTCAACGGCACTGCCTTGGCCTCTCTCCCTATCAACAACACCCTCGCTCTTCAGTTGCCTGGCCTCTGCAGTCCACAGATTGACCCTTCGACTTGCTCAGCTTCAGGTATTGCAACCTTCTTATTACTGTTTATATTACCAGGAAATTTTTGGTGGTTCTGACAATAATGTCAATGCGCTTCCTTATCATTTTAGTCATTAATCTCAGAACCACCAATCTAAATTTTACATATTTAGTATTTATAAATTTTACATATTTTTAGCAAAGTAGTTAACTTATATGTTGGAACCTGTTTAATTTTTTTTTTTTCTTGGGTGAAAGGAGGATCTCCATCTCCTACAATAGCAGCAGCTCCAACATCACCAAATTCTCCGGCTACACTCACAAGGAATCCAACTGCTGATGATGCAGGTAAAATTCTGAACTTCACTCCGCAGCAAGGAATCTGATTTTGTAACGACTTAGCAATCAGTTCGTTCTATGACAAGTTTTTGCGCTTGGTTGTTATTTAGTATTTACTTCCGATTTTCTGGTTGCTTAGGAGCTCCAACCATAACTATTGCACCAAGGCCAAGCACTGCCAGATTTGGGTTGAAGAATAGCTCAGCTTACAAGTTGGCCAGCTGTCAATGGGGAATCGCAGTAGCAATGATCTTTGTATTGTTAGAAAAGTTACTCTGATGAGATTAGTCACAGAAGAATTGTAGGTTTATTCAATTACGACCGCAGGTCAATGAAGTAACCGATGATATACTGATTAGTAGTTTATTTACAGCTAGGGAGAATTTCGCAAGACAGTATTTCTTTGTCCATTGTATGGTTTCATCCTATTTCAGTAATCCTTTATTTACATAACAGGAATTTATCTTTTCAAAGTAGTTTAGATGTTACAAATGGAAAATCAAATCCTACCAGAAGAATGGAAACTAAAATCTAAATACTGATTCAATGCCACTAAAAGCTAAAATGACAATTACTGAGTAATAAAAAGAACTTCGTAAAAAACTTCAAAAGAGTTCTGATTAATAATTTACCAAAACCGTAGCGACTTGCAGATCAAGCACAGCCACTGTCAAAGAAAATTCAAAAGCAATTGTGCTTGCAGGATAATAATCCCCTTCTATTTCATCTAGTCTGAAATTAAAGCAGATATCTTCAATAACTCTGAGACAGAATATAGCAGAAAAACAGGAATTTGCCTTTTAGTTTCAATTATACATAATTATCTCATGATATAATAGAAAAAACAAAAAATAAACCCTATAGAAGGTCCAAACGAAATAGAGAAAACCAGTAATTAAGTCCAGCTTGAAAAACAGCAAAGGTAAGACAAACTAGAGCCTGATTAATGGCACTTAACTATTATAATCAGATAATATTCCAAGCTAATTAAAGACAATTCAGTAAAAGCTGTAAAACTAAAAAAGGGGCCTCCAGATTCATTATCTTCTAAAATCACAATGGATAAGCGACTAAATAAGGAGTAAAGGACAACTAATGCTTTCACAACAAAAGTCAGCAGTGATGGAATTGGTGCTGGTATGGTCCAATCTCTTGTACATTGTATGCACTTGCTTGAGCCATAAAACAATCAAGAGCTGCAGCATAAAAAATTTATGCGCAGCCGCACAGGCACATAATATTAAGTATTTTATGTTTGGGATGCTGAAAAGTAGATGTTCTTTAATTCCAGTACATCTTCCTCAAACAATATATATACCGGTAAAATAGAGAGATAATTTACACTGAAATCCTATGTTGCAACTTGCAAGTAATCTTTGATAGCTTCTGAGAGAAAGTAGCAGAAAAAAAATTCATTCTAACTTGTCACTTCTAATGCTTACACAATTTCTTACACAGGTAACCTTAGTCTATATATATAGTGGCAGAACAACAAAAGTACAAGACAAATTTAATGCTAAGATAATTAATGTGAACCAAACTTATAAAATGGTTTCATGGGCCTTCATAACTTCATAGCCCTGCTGTATAGAGTGCTTTGTTCCAATACCTTGCTGCTAATCCAAAGCAGGAGCCTCCTCTGTGGGGTTAGACTCAAACACGTCTGCGTCAGATCCCTCAGGTCCTTCTAAGAGATCCTTTGATTGGATAGATTCCTTGTATGCAGGAGTTTCTCTAAAATCTGTAGCCCCTTCATTATAGGTAGCCACAGCAATGCCACTCGAAATCAGCTGTGAAGACCAAATCAAACATTAAGTCAGTTCTGAAGATTTGGTGCTGTGATTCGAAGTTGACAGATCTAAATTCAAGCATGCGTAGACAACAGGTATATCTGCATAGTGCTTGATCTCAAGACTAAGAATCTAATACAGTAAGAAATACAATGATAGCTTTTAGGAATTCATTATCTGTTCCTTTACCATCAATCAGCTGAAATAACTTCTGTGCATTCTCAGCTATAAACCTATTAATAGTGTCCTCAATTTATGAGTTCAATCTTAAATTTACCATGGAAAGCATAAATTTTAGAGGACCCATATTAAAGAACAATCAAACCTTCAGCCCCCCCATACCCACCCACCCACCCAACCCACACACACACACACACATACACAAGGCAATCTACAACTATGCCACCCAGGTAAGACCACATCGACGCAATAATTAACTCATTGTAAGTTTGACCTTAAAGCTGCCTTAAGCAAAACATAATCAGAGCTTTTCTCTGTCAGTGTGCAGACCTGTACAGTGTACACTAATGATAAGTCCATACAAAGCGTGAACTTCAATCCGAAAAAAAGGCCAATGATGGCAGTTAAGATTCGACTCAAGAGGCTTAGAAACATTTTCTTTAGTATAAGAGTACAAATGGTTTTGTCATGTAGATTGCAAAAGGTCCAGTTACCATTGTGAACAAGCTCAATCATGTATCTTATTTAAGTGAAATTATCAAGTCACCATTAAGCTCTAGTAGACTCATCTTGTTAATCACCCTTTATACAGCTTTTGACATAATTCCACAAACCCAGTGTGCTACTCTAAATACCTTCATTTGGACAGTGATAATTTATAAAACCCAATAAAAATCTTCCCTCAACCAAACACAAAAGAAATACTTGAATATCCTAAGCTCATTTATCGAGATATGCTTAAACTAAACCCGTAAACACTATTAGTATAAAGAGAGTAGCAACAAAAGTATTACAAATTTCTTGTGTTTGAGACAGAACTCAAACAAAGTACCAAGCATCAACTTAAAGTGTAACTATCTTTAAGTATTAAAATATTTGGCACCCCCTCCTACATCACATGGACACCAACAATGATTAATCTATTCCTGATGCTGTTAACTAAGTCATAAACTACATTTAAGCACGTATGTCAACTATTTTAGTTCATTCAATCTTCGAAATAGTATAAACCTACAAAACCAACAACAAATTCAAACACAAGCTATATAAGTAACTACTATAATATTCAGTACAATAGATAACCTCCCTCAGCCACTAAAATAATTAAAACAGGACGAACTTTTAGAGACGAATGATTTAGATAATTCAAAGATGAGAGACAGTAAGTTAATTACCGCGAAAAGAATACCAAAAGCCCACATATACTGAACAAAGAAACCAAGACCATCCCATTGAGGACCCTCCCAAAAATCAGGTTTATCCCCAGGAAGCTCAGGCAACAAATCATCCTCATCATCATCATCAACACTATCACCAATCAAACTAACATTCTCCTCAAAATTTCTTAGACCATTCTTTTCTTCGGAGGCGGCAGCATCATCCTTAGTTGTAGTAGAAGAACCCCTTCTGTTCTTGCTGTCGAATTTCCCTGTTCGAGAGGTGAACTTGCCAGTGGCAGCTACTACTGTTAAGGATGATGTTCTTGAAGAGAGAGAAAGTGATGAAGGGAGGAATTGACGGTGGTGGTGGATTGGTAAGCGAGGAGTGGCACCATTAATGGGGTTGTTTATGGTGAGAGACATTATTGTGTTTTTGAGTGGATGAGAAGTTTGTTACCCTTTTGGAGTTGGGTTTCTTGTTTTTGTTTGATAAATAATGGGAATTCAATTGATTATGGGATTTTTGTTTGGTTGGAGTGATAAGAGAGGAAGAGGGATGATTTTATAAAATACTATCTTAGTTTCAATTTATTTAACTAGTTTATTGCCGTATTTGGTAATTAGTTGGTTGTATTACTCCATACCTAGTTTGATTAGTAGTTTGTATTAACTAGTTTGATTTAGCTGGTTGTAAATAAATGGTTGTGTAAAAGTGTTTGGTAAATAGCTATTAATTGTTAGCGGTTAAATATATAAAACAACTAAAAAACTAAATGTTTAAAAAGCTAATTTTAAAAAACTCATATTTTGTGCATTTTCGAAAAGAGCTTTTCATAAGTTTTTTGCCAAACACTATAATTAGTTTTTTCAATAGTCGAACCTCTAATAGATTCAAGAAGCTAAAAGCTCCAAAAAAAAACACTTTACCAAATAAGGCTATATGTTCAGAGGGTGGATCTATAGTGTGGCATGGGTGCACCGACCCCACCAAAAACTAATTTATTTATTTATTTAGGTAAATGTGTAAATTTATAGGTTAAATATAATTATAATGAAATGAATAACATCAAATTAGTTTTGTCATAATGATTATGCATTTACCTTAAAGACAAAGTGTGCAAATGTACTAATACAGCGTCGTGAGACATTTGCAACTATTTTTTTATTTTTATATTTTTTATACAGAAGTCTCACAACTATTAAAATATAGTAAAAGTGTTTTTTAGTTGTTATTGTATTTTCTTTAAAGTCACCTATTAATTAAATACGATTCTTCTAGTTTTTATGTTTTTTATTAATTTGACTTGACATTACTTGATCTCTATAATTTTGAATTCTATGGTAATTTTTTTTAATAGTTTATCTATTTATTAAATATGATATTCTAGTCATTATGTTTTTACTAATTTAACTTGACATCACTCGATCTATAGTATTTCAAATTTAACGTGTCAATATTTTGTTTGATCAATATTTTAAAGTTGATTGTGAAACTATTTCTAAATTTTTGAATGATGAATTTGTTGGATTAAAGAGAGTAAAAATCATGTTTTTTGGTAGTTGATCAGTTTACTCCACAAGGAGGTTGTGGCCTACAACGTTTGATCACAAGTGGATTGTGGAGTAGACTTTTATGTCTATTTTATAAGAAAAAATCATCCTTCTACGCAAGTAGGTTGTAGCCAATAGCGATTGCCCACAAGTGGGTTGTGGAGTAGACTTTTTCATGTCTACATACATTCATCTTTTGACATTCTTCCTTCATCTCTTGGATTCTCTAGTAACCTCCCATTAAAGTGGATGTTTATGGTGATTTAATCACCTTTTGATGTTTAGATTCATGCTCTTGAAATTCCATCCTTGCTTATAAAATTGGCTTGGTTATTCTTCTTCTTTCACAATCATCAAACACATTGAGTTAAACACAATTCTCTCTTTGGGCATAAGTTTACAAGTCTCCAACCTTGTAACACCCTAGAAATTCCTTTCCTTTAAAATACATGTTTTGCTCTTTTTAAGTACGAAGGAAATTCTAAGACATTACCGCCACCTGAAAAACGGCTAAGGCAACTATCAAAGACACACAACGGAAGACTCTCTTTAAACCATTAAAACAAGTCAACTTAAAAAGTCAAACTAAATGAAAGTAAAGTCAACCTACAACTTGGAACCATTGTTGGCCCTTAATAAAACCGAGATAAAACATTTGAAAACCTTTGCATTAGTCTCACAAGCAAAATATATAATAATTAAAGCAATAAACCACATCATATTCCTATAGAAACTAAATATGATTCGCTCTTCACTCATGCCCATCATGAATATGCTTCCACACCTGAAAAGCTCCTCTTTACTTTGTCCCACTACTCGCCATTAGAAATGGATCGTCATAGGGCCAAGATAAAGACAAGGTCAAACAAACATACAAACACACAATCAACAATGCTAAGTACATTAGCATAAACAGTACACACTAACATGCTTTCATCCTATCAACACACAACTTACCTTGTTGCACCTGTTTACAAGCATAGAACATACAACATAACCAACTAACAAATCACTAGATTATTTATTTAGCTTGATCATGCATCGAACGGGTTTCCCCCTAACCTACCTCAATAAAGGGGTACTAACACGAGAGCTAACCGTGCCTGTATAAAAGAACCACTCGTAAGTGGCGGAATTCCTGCGCATAATAAAAAAAGGAAAATACATCGTCCTGTACTCGTAATAGAAGTTATAGTCAAATGTAAAGTCGCATAACTCCCCCCATATGTTCATACTCGAGGTATATACGTTCCAAAAATTTTGGTGCGTAATCTCTTTCACTTTACGTTGTTTACATATTCTTAGACTTGGTGGTGACTCTCAAACCATCATACAATCAATCATAATAAATCATTCAAGCAATCAAACATACCAATTTAATTCTTGAATAATTAGTGACCATATAGATTAAATGTTGAATCCTTTTTAAACTACCTCGGTGTTAAATAACACCTTAAACGCATAATGCGCCACAAATCCTATCCCTCAGTATTTAAAACACCTTAAGTGTACTTAGGCACCAAAATATAATTTAATTCTCGTGTACATAGACACTTAAATAGCTCATTTCCCATGCTTATAGCATCAATAAAAGTTATATGAATCATAATAAAATTCCCTTTTTATATTCCAAACCAAATTAAACATTTAGTTTAATTAAACATGCTCTCTATCATGCCAATAAAAAAAGTGTGGTTCATATTCAACATGCCAACATAATTAATTCCAATCATCAATTCACCAAAAATAAACCATACTTCACAAATCAATCACCAACATCAATCCAATCAACAATTCCGACCAACATCTATCATAATACTACCTTGGAGTTAATTAAACAAAGCCTAACATGCTTCTATATACTTAAATAATTACCAAGTACGCGAACGTACCTTGAATATGATCTCAAAATCGCCACGACTACACGAAATCACTCACTTGGAAATCTCCTACAACCCAAAATTACAAAGAGACATTAATACTTATTCAATATAAATTTCCAGCAATATACACACTCTTTAAATCACTTATAAACCCTCTAAAACAAGGTGAAAATTAATTTAAAACCCCTACTTTACAATTCTAACTTTTATATAAAAATTTCAGCTTTATAAAAAAATATAAAATTGTTGTAATTATGTTTAGATACATCTAATTTAATAGTTTCAATCACCTACAATCAATTTCCATCAACATACATTAATTTAGAAACCTAGGATTTTCAATTTGGGGCTTTTTAATTCAAAAACTAAATTTGAAAATTATATACATAATAATTATAATCAAACATCATAAAAATTCATCACACAACCCAAAAATAATAATTGAATCAAGGCTAGAAAAATTTTAAAACAAAAGAAGAGTTTTTTTTTCAAAACACACGCACAACAAGGGGAGGGGAGGACGGCTGCCGCCGCCGCCTCCCTTCGGTGGCTGCTGCCAGCGAGTGCTAGCGGTGGCCGACCGGTGATGGTGGTGGTGGCAATTGGCTACCGTGTGGAGTGTGTGTGTGTGTGTCGTGTGATGTGAAAAGAGAGGAGGGGGAAAAATTAAAGGAGAGAGAGAGAGTTTACCTTTGGGTATTCTCCACTTTGGGCAATATGTAACTTGCTCATAAGATGGGTATTTATACCCTCTCTCTAAAAATCTTCCTAAGCTTAAATTCCCTTTCTACTCTTAATGATCTCTTCTCCTATTTAAACTAGTCATTTGACTTTCTTTAAATACCATTGACTTTAAATTTCCTTTTATAAATAATATGCCCTAAAGTTTCTAAATAATACAATAAAATATTTTCAAAGCAATTAAATAAATAAAAATGGACCTTTAATTAAAATAATTCTTTTTAAATTAATAAAATACCATAAATAATTTATTTCAAATAATTTAAATACTTCATAAAATAATAATTAAAATTAAAATACGTATAAAAATACGGGGTATTACAAACCTCCTACCCAAAAGTTCCTTTCTGTGGGAGTGGTGTATGTAACCTTAGGGAACGTACCAGCGAATAAAATTGTACACCCCGGTTACGCCGAATTTCGTTTTCAAGTCAGTGATTATTATCACGCTACACTGAAATTTCTTTCAATATTATTTCCTCTTCCCTTGTTCATTTTGTTGACTATTTGTTCTAGACCCTCTTTATATTACAACAATTTGAAAACGAAATAATGTCTATTGCAACTAGTGTTATGAACAAGACCCTTCCCGACCTCTCTAAGTTGGAGCCTCTTAATGGTAACAAGTATAAGAGATGGTCTCAAAAGTTATTAATTTTCTTTGAGAAAATTGAAATAGATTATGTGCTATATGAAGACATCATTAAGGTGCTAAAAAAGACAGAAGAACAAGCCGCTACTACTACGACCGTCGTTACGGCAATCGTGATGGAAGCTTTGAAGAAGAAGGAAAAAGGACAACAAGCTAGTTCATGGTCATCTTCTCAATCATATGAACAACACCTTGTTTGATTTGTTTTCAATTTCAAGTCAAGTAAGGTCATTTGGGATTCCTTGGATAAGAAATATGGTTCGGATGATGCGAGAAAGAAAAAGTATGTTGTGGGCAAATGGATCAATTTCAAGATGGATGATGAGAAGCCAATCATGGGTCAAGTCCATGACTATGAAAACTTATTGACCGAAATTCTTGGTGAAGGCGTGAAGATGTGTGAGACTCTTCAAGCTAATGTTCTGGTGGAGAAATTTCCTCCATCTTGGAATGACTACCGCAATTCCTTGAAGCACAAGAAGAAGGACATGACACTTCAAGAGTTCATTAGCCACATGAGAACCGAAGAGGCTAATCGCCTTAAGGATAAGTTTGAAAATTTGTCTCTTAATTATTCTAAATCCAATCTTGTTGAATCTTCTTTGAATGTGTCTAAAAACAGGGGAAAATCTAAGAAGGAGAGAAACAACAAGTTCAAAGGAAATTTCACTAATAACAAAAAAATCCAAAAGTCTAAGGGAGCGTGCTATGTGTGTGGAATC